AACTGTTTCACTGTTGTTACATTAGAATATACTTTTATAGCTGTTTCAGGTAGCGATTAGTCCCACTCTGTGACAAGCCGTAAAATGTGCAACTGATAAAAAAACAAAACTGAATACAATAAATAGAGCGATTCACAGTAATACAAATTAGGCCTTCTAATTTCTCGTAAAAAATATGTCATCACTTTCGTGGCCAATCAGATAAATACAATCAGTAGTATTTTTGTATATGGAAAATGTCTCGTATACGAGTCGATCTGTTTGCCTTTCTCCTGGTTAGTAGAAAATGTCCATAAAATTAAAAACAAAAAACATAGCCAAAACGACGACTATGTTTTTCTACATAAACACTTTTATAGAATTATAAATTCTAGTTTTAAACCGTGAACATAAGATTGCTGGTCTCCACAGCGTTCTTCACGGAAGCACGCTGATTTAATTTCTAAAACGAAATGAAACAAATTATATTTACATTTCGAAAATAAAAACACATTTTTCGTTCTTTATTCTATTTTGCTTTTATTAAACCTACAAATGTGTCAGATCATTTTGCCGCACTCTGTATATATATATATATATATATGTGTATATATATATATATATATATATATGTTTGTTTATATATATATATATATATATATATATATATATATGTGTGTGTGTGTGTGTGTGTTTGTATATATATATATATGCAATTTTTATATATATTATTTATCTTATTTATTATAAAACGCAGATTGTGTGTGTGTGTGTGTGTGTGTGTGTGTGTGTGTGTGTCTGTACGTTTATATATTGGATCGGATTTCCTACATTTTTCAACCGATTTCAACAAAACTTCACAGGACTGCGTAAAATTACCTTGCGGTGCCAAAAAATGGAAAAACACAATTGTTTTTGCACGAAATCAATTTGAAAACACAATAAAACATGATTCTGTCGTCAGAATGAAAGGAGGACAACTCATATCGAGTTATACTTATTATAAAACCCAGGTTGTTTCTGTGTGTGTGTTCGTTTATATATGGGATCGGATTTCCTACATTTTTCAACCGATTTCAACAAAATTTCACTTTTTTTTTTTGGCAGGTAGTGTTTCTTATTGTCTTGCACACTTTTTTCTTTTATTTTACATTCAAGAATGCTTTAAAATTCCATTTACAAGACAATTGTTTATAATAAAATTCTATTCAATCGATAGACTCATAACGATTGAAAACAATGTTTTTGTTTGAGTTTGGGTTTGACTAATTCGTAAAAAAAAAAAAAGAAAAAGAAAAAACTAATTAAGACATGCGTGTCCGTCAACCTTAAACAATAATATTTGTCAATTTTATTTTTCAGTCTTTATGATGGTCAATACTTGATCTATCTCTTACTGTTACATCCCCGGGCAACGCCCTGCTCTACTGCTAGTATATTATATATGCGCGGTACTTATTGGAAAGCGCTCAATATTAGTGATAGAGTTAGCATATTTAGTTGGATTGATGTAAGTTTGTGACCCTGGGTTTCACGCTATTTGTGATCGTTAGCAAAACTAATTATTTTTTGTCTGACGATCGCAAATAGCGTGAAACCCAGGGTCACAAACTCATATATATATATATATGAATAAAGGCGAAAAGAAAACTTTTCTTAGCCGAAGCGTTTCGTTCTCTGATAAATTTTATCAAGGCAAATGTCAGGATTTTAATTTGCCTTGATAAAGTCAATTAGATGATGACACGCGTCGGCTAAGATATGATTTCCTTTAGTCTATGCACACTTTTTATCATTTTATATATATAAAAATAACAGCCACTGTAATCATTTATAAGTTCATTGACACGAAATTTTATCGTGACCAATCGATAAAAAATAATCATTTATTTTATGTCTGATCATTTATCTGTCTAGATTAAACCTTAAATAGAAATGTGTTGCCTAATAAGTACTAGAGTGCGCTAATGAATCAGCTAAAAGTATATAATCATCTCCATATGTAATCTTATTTAATCTCTTCCTAGACTACACTCTACTCGTATACATGCACAGATGTGAAGAGATGGGCACCGATCACCCCAGAAATTTACTAACAGTAAACAGCGTTCCTGCTTCTCCGCCCGAGGCTAATGTGCAGAGGGTGAAGGGAGCTATGCTGAAGACATAGGTATAAATCCTTGGCATAAGAATGATCTCGAACAAAAAATCATCTATCAAGTTTTCAAAGAAGTAGAAATCAAGATAAACCTTTCGAAAACAGAAATTATGATCTGGAATTGGAATGAAAGCAATGATGCACCTACCCTGAATCCATCATAAAAATTCAGGATCTGGAATTAGTAAATACTAAATCCTTTAGACATCTTGGTGTATGGAACAGTTATGACAAATTTAGTATAGGAGTTGGGGAAATTGAACAAAAGGAATAATAATGTTAATAATAGTTTCTCCTAATACCTCAAGTTGCAACAAAACTAAAATAATTAACCTAAAAACGAGAACCATTTACTTAAATAGCCTCGTCAGATCCAGACTTTCATATGGATACAATGTATGGTGCCAAACTCGTTCAGAAATATCTAATCTGTAAGCTGTATACAACCGCTTTCTCAGATCGTTAATTAAAAATGGCTTCAAGCTGTTGAAGCGTGTATGCCTCAGCAAGGAACATCCTTCGTCGAAGCTCATAGACTAGTGCTACAGAATCACAAAGAACTGTATTGATAACAGCAACCACATCATTTGAGGACTTTCAACAGCAGCAATAAATAAAATGGATTGCACACGTAACTGGAATTGAGAACAATGTTGACAAAAATGTTGACATTCCACACCACTTCAAATAAAAATATCTGTCTATATTTCTCAGATGAGGTATTGTAACTAATTACAATATTTGGAATGTTGTCCTCATCTTTGTTCTAGATTATTCTAATTCCATGAGCCATGTCTTTTTTTGGGAGAACAATGACATAATCAAAATGTTGACATTCCACACCACTTCAAATAAAAATATCTGTCTATATTTCTCAGATGAGGTATTGTAACTAATTACAATATTTGGAATGTTGTCCTCATCTTTGTTCTAGATTATTCAATTCCATGAGCCATGTCTTTTTTTGGATATCTCAGTAAATCTAACTCCGTAGACTAAATAAAGGGTTCAGTTTGAAATTCCAACGTATATCACCTGAAGAAGGTCGGAGCGTACAACGGTCGAAACGTCGTGAATATGGCAATAAAGATTACAACACTCTGAATAATGTAAATAATGTAAATAGCTAAAATAAAAAGTTAGGAAATAAAACCCAACCGATACTGGAAAAGGCGATAACAGTTATTGAAATTGAAAAACCAATTTTAGTGAACAATTGTTTTAATAGAAATCTATATAAATAAAACGCAGTGAACGTGTGACCGTCCGGCCGGCCGTTTTTCGATCTCAGCGAATCACAAACAACCTGAAGGTAATAACTACTGTAGTTACACGCGATTAAAAAATAAATAAATTACACATTTAAATATAAATATCGAACTGAATGGCAGGTTTTAAAAAAAAACAATTCTTTATTAAAGGTTTCACTTTAATTTTGCTTGTCGTTGCAATTGCAATTGATATCATCTCATTAAACCATAATTAAAATTTAAGCGGGCACATTACGTTGCTCATGTGTTTTTTTTTCTTTTTCTATCACGCGTACCGTGACGTATTCGAAATACTACACAATTCTGGTTCCTTAATATCTTTTAAGAGTGACTTTATGTGAAGGGATCATAACGAATGGTGATTTTAAAAGAAAATAAAAGTTGCGTACAAAATAAATGTAAAACTACAGAACATTGGTTGCGTATACGAAGAAAGATTGTGCCGAATTAAGATAAAATAATTTTATTATTTCTAAATTCTTATAACTTTTACGTACATAAGATGCTGAAGGTAAAAGGCCGAAGGTCCAAAAGACTTCCGCAGGAGCTAGCATAAAGTACGCCGAATAGCGGCTTCTAGGCTAGTATTTATATATGTTTCCTTGTAAAGAAACGCCTATTATTACCATTATCAAGGCAAACAGCAACTAACGCAATAGGAATTGGAATGACTATCTGAGAGCTTAAGAGTAAGTTATGTTTTTTTCTTTTTAATTTTACGAAAACGAAAATTGAAAGTGATTTAAATAAAGCATAACACAAACAGTTTCGTATTACGCATGCGCGTGAATGCCTGCCCAAATGCGCTTTCATTTATTTTCAGAAGTGAATTGTTACAAGAAAAGGACGACGACATTTTTCATTTGTTAAAGTAATTTCTCAGTCGCAGAAAAAAAAATATCAAAGAAAACTTTAGATTCAAATTTTAGTCAAGATTTCAAATAAGTATTTTTTAGCATTCTGTTGCATTCATATTCCAAACACTGGAAGAAATATTTCAGATATCATAGAGATATCTATTTATGTCAGGTCACTCTACGAGTACTATTGGCATCATGTAACCTATGGTTGGGTTATCGGTGACTAAATCGGTTCTCCCGCCAAGATTTTCTAGTGAGAAGGATGACTAGACACACAGCAGTATTAAAAACGAAACCTGTCGTGGGGTGGATGAAATTTCTTGTGTGGTCAACGGCCATCTAGCACGATGGGGTTGACTTGGCTCCATAGCTCCAGTGTTGCAATGACACAGTATTGGTAGGTGGAGGGCTGAAGTCAATAGCCTCTCTCTCTCTCTTTCTCTTTCTCTCTCTCTCTCTCTCTCTCTCTCTGATTATTTCCTCTTTTTCCATTAAAAAATCCCCTTGTTTTTCTGTCTGTGTCATGGTGATATATACTACAGGACTGCTCATATTGCAACTAACGGCTATAAATGGAAGCCTATTTCAAAATATTTGAATTTCAGAAGTCTTAGGAGAAAAATTAAAATTTAAACAACATTCTTAATAAATTACTTTTTCATTAATCCTAAAAATATTATATTTGCTTCTATTTTCTTTTTTTTTAATGGTAAACTAAGCAAAAATTCGGGCTGATCATATCACGTTGAAATACCAGTTTCCTTACGATCACCATAGTTAAACAACATCGAGACTGGCCAGTACCTAGATGGGTGACCGTTTGGGCATATGAGATGCTGTAATCTTGGATATGCTGGTGGTGTAATGGTTAACGACTCTGAATTGTTAATCGGACAGCCGAGTTCCAGTTGGATTCGTTATATTCACTTATGTGCAAATACCGTTGAGAAAAGTATGAATCCACTTCTTCTCCCCAGCTATGGGTTAATTAGTAAGACTTGTATCAGTAAGTTATTACTACCTCAAAAAATATTATTACACTCTAAAAATATTTTCTGACTTTAAATAACCTGCAAAATGTTGATAATCCGTAAAAAAAAACAAATAAATCATAAAAAAATTCAACATGCTTTTGTTTTTAAATATCTTTTACAAAGAAAAGTATGAATTATAAAAAAATAAATTTTATCATCAGTCGATTTGTTGTTATGAATAAGACTATCATAGAAAGATATTAAATCAATTTTACGTAACAAATAATGAAATTCTTAAATAAATTTCGCAGTGCAAAAGCAAAATCAACGAAAAAGACTCCGGAAGAAAAATCTACGTTATAAATTATACATTACTGCAATGTGTGTTTAGATTTCGGTGTCATATTTCTGTCTTTTGTTAAAACAAACACTTTCTACATATTTAAACTTGTTTCACGTTGAAATACCGGTTCCCGTACGATCACCGCCGAAGTTAAGCAACGTTGAATCGGGTCAGGAGCTAGATCGGTGACCACTTGGGAATACCAGGTGCTGTCACACACGATGTGCAGGTGGATAATGGAAAATGGTTCAGAATTGTTAATCGGAGAGCCGAGTTTTAATTCCAGTCGGGTTCGTTATATTCACTTACGCACAAAAGCCCTTGGGAAAGGTTTGACACTATCCCTTCTCTCCTAGCTATGGGTTAATTAGTAAGACTTGTATCAGTAAATCATTATTATTTAAAAAAAATTCTTACAATCTAAAAATATTTTCTGGCTTAAATAACCAGGAAAGGGTTGATAAACCGTAACAAAACGAATCAATCACGCGACCAAATATGATTAAAGAATTTTTATTTTTTTGCTCCAGCCATAAAATATTTAAAATCTCATTGTAAGCAAAAACAAATTTAGGCATTTATTTTTTTTTTTATTATTATTACTTTTTTAACCTCTCTCTCTCTCTCTCTCTCTCTCTCTCTCTCTCTCTCTCTCACTCTTTCTTTCATTCTTTTCTTTCATTTTTTTTTTTTTCATTTTTTCTTTCTCTCTTTTCTCCCTCACTATCACTTACACTCTGTTTCTCTGTCTTTCTCTCCCTCACTTTCTCTATCTGTCTGTCTGTTTGTCTCTTGCTCTAAAAAGTGTTTACAACGTTCCAGTTCTATTTCTAAGTTTTCATAACCGAATTTTTATTAAAGTATTCTGTTTATAGCAATGACCTTTAAACTTTACACAAAGAAAAGCACAAATAAGTAAGGAAGATTATGTCATGCTAGTCCTCGAAGTGGAGAGGCCCTGTCATAAAAAAATAGCATTCGAATTGGATACTTTTACTTTGGTACGAGTACAAAACATCTGGCATTAGGGTTCATGGAACTGAATCAGTTAAAAAACTGACGACATATAACTAAACCTTTTTTTAATACAATGTCATTTTCCAATCGCAATAATTTAAATGGTGTTTCTTCTATTTTCTGTGTCCCTTGAGGACGTCACCGTTATGGCTCTCCACGACATCCTGTCCCTTGTATCCCTTAGCACAGTTTATTTGGTTTGCATATCAGCCTCAGTGGATTATTTAATGCCGACAAGTGCTGGAAATATATTTTGTTTTCCAAAAATCTATTGCTGGAAATAATTTTTTACAAAAATATATTGCTGATATTAAAACCTATTTTTACACTTCCATAGTGTTTAGACCCCAGTTTGGGTGTCAACTAAATTGCCCGCAGCTGGGACCCTACAGGTGCTACCCCCCTGGGTCAGAGTGGACCTGGAAACTCCAGAAATTTAGAGGTGGTTCCACGCTCCTCAAAATCTCCTGTTCGGAGGCCTTGCTACCGGGTGTAATTTATCGCCTTACCCAGGACGCGGATGTAGTTTATCGTCATACCCAGAACGGTAGCACGGTTTGTCTATTTACCAAACACCCCGCCTTCTTTTCGCTATCCATTCACGCAATGTCGTCAGGTCGGTGGTTGTCTTCCTTCTGTCCGCCTTGCCTTTGATATGTCCGATGAGTGTCTAATGTTGTTTACCCAAGGAAATATTTGCGCAAATATCTAGTTAAAAGAGAATAGTGTACACACACACACACACGCGCACACACACACACGCACACACACACACACACATACGTGCGTGAACTTAGAAAGAAGAAGCATGATGGAGTAATGGATAGTGGCTCGGAGTGATGAATCGGGGAGCCGAGTTCGAATTCTATTCGGATTCATTACATTCAGTTACATACTAATACCCTTGGGAAAGGTATGAATCCTCTTCTCCCCTTCTTATGGGTAAATAGCAAGACAGACTGGGTTCTATAGCCTTGTGTGGAAACCGGTCTAGGAGAAAGTAACCCTGAATTCAAAACTGTATGTAGCTCTGGTGTAGTACGTACTATACAGCTAAAGGAAAGGATCGTTCGCATTGGCTCGTTGATCTCGACTAGGGTCGGAGAAAGAATTAATGAAAATAAAAAAAAAGAAATAAAAAAGAATGAGAAAGGAAAGAAAGTAATGAAAGAATAAAAGAAAGAAAAGAAAGACAGAAAGAATGAATAGCAATCGGTACCCGCACGCATCCGATCATCGGGATCATCATCCACTCTCCTTATTCCCTTTCCCTCCCCTGGTGGCTTGTGGTGGTGGTGGAGATGGTTCACACAGCCGAGTCTACTCCTTGAGGAAGAGATTAGCATGAATTTGATTTTGTTGAACAAGTCTGCACGACAGCGAAGCCCACACACTTGACTAGAAGCGCCTCCCTCGGGCCTCAAAAATGAATGAATGAATAACTGAAAGATAGGCTGAAGGAATGAAGAATGAATGGATGAATGAAGGAAAGAAAAGAAAAAAATGAAAGAAAGGAAGACAGACGTAAAGAATAAAAAGAAATCATGGAAGAAAGAAGAAAAAATAGAAAGAATGATAAAAAAAAAGAAGGAAATAATAAATGAATGCAAAAAAGAATGACAGAATTATTTAGAGAAAGAAATAAAGAAAGAAGCAAATGAATGAAGGAAGGAAGGAAGGAAGGAAGGAAGGAAGGAAGGAAGGAAGGAAAGACAGGTTATAAGAGAAAAGAAACGATGTCAAAATCCCGAAAAGTTTGAAAGAAAAAATGAAAGAAAGAAGTAAAATGAATAATTAAAAGAAAGAATTAAAAAAGAAAAATGAATGAAAGAAAGATAAAATGAATGATTAAAAGAAAGAAAGAAAGAAAAAATGAATGAAAGAAACAAAGAAAGGAGAAAATGAATGATTAAAAGAAAGAAAGGAGAAAAATGAACGAAAGAAAGATAGAAAGAGGAAAATAAATGATTAAAAGAAAGAAAAAAACGAATGCTTAAAAGAAAGAAAGAAAAATGAATAAAAGAAAGAAAGAAAAAATGAAAAAAGAATGAAAGAAAAAAAATTAAGGAAAGAAAAGAAAAATGAATGATTAAAAGAAAGAAGAAAAATAAATGAGTAAAAGAAAGAAAGTAGAAAATTGAATGAAAGAAAAATGGAAGCTTAAAAGAAAGAAAGAAAGAAAGAAAGAAAGAAAGAAAGAAAGAAAGAAAGAAACGAATGCTTAAAAGAAAAAAGAAAGATGAAAAATGAATTATTAAAAGAAAGGAAAAAATGAATAAAAGAAAAAAAAAAACAAAAACACAGCCTTGCCTTGATGTTACGTTAAAACACCAGTGGGTCCTCATTTCTCAAGTTCATATTGCTATCATATTTTGAAAATTTGTCAAGTTTGTAGACAAATAACATTAGTAAACCATATTCGTGTTTCTTTCTTCTCCCTTCCACGTGAATCTATTACTTCACTCTTTGGTTCAACGTCAGTGTTATGACATTATTCTTCAGGCTTTAATTTCTTCTTTAGAAATCTTTATTTGTTTACCGTTTTATATTCCTTTTTTTCTTTTTTTATAATTCTTTCTTTTTGTCTTCGTCATATTTTCAGGTCATTCGCTTTTTTTTTACCATGTCTTACGACGAATCTATTGTTACACTTATTTCTATGTATCACTATATCTTAAAACGCTTAGACAATTGGACCATCGAAGCAGACAGAGTAACACAATACGAAACGAAATCTTGTTGAATTAGGCTTTCAACAGGTCGTATGAATTGCGAGAGAAAAATGTAACGCGTAAGACATTATTGGCACTGATACTATAAAAAGAAAACTACAATACATATCAATTCGGCATTTAATCTCGAAGTTGTCCACTTCTGAAGCTGCAAACTTTATCCAGCATCGATTCCAATGACGGATGCATTCCTGGAACTCCAATTGTGGGATGCAAACTCGTCGCATTCTCTTTGACTTACCCGACTTCTTGAAGTCTTTTTTTGGTTCTGTCAAATGGGATTTGATTTTTGAAGAGGAAGGGGCGAGATCTGGGGAATATTGTGGTTGTCGGACCTGGGGAATGTTACTCTTAGCTAAAAACTACTGCACAAGCCATGATCACTGATGGAACGACTGTGGTGTGGTGGGACGACCACACTCTATACACTTTCCTTCCAAGCATTGCTATAAACAACACGAGTGAGCTAGAACGGTATAACTTTGTGTGTATGCACGACATAATTCATTGTCCAATTTGTACCAAGTAGCTTCATGCTGCGTACTTTAGCTCCGTTGCCATTTCCCCGTAGACCCCGCATACACGGAGTCGGGTAGCTGTCTACCACCCGAGATGAGACTCTGCCCTTCAGCAAAATCTTGTCTAGGTTCTTCTCTGCACAGCTGGAGACGAATCTCCAACTAATTGCCGAAGCAAGGTTTTTTTTTACCTTACTCCACGCGAGGCAGGGTGTGGCACAAGGAGTTTTTAATGCGGGGCTAAAAACCGAGCCCGTTGGCTCGGGTAAAATTTCCCCGTAATCTCCAACTAATTGCCGAAGCAAGGATATTTGCCAACCGCCCCACGTGGTCAGATGTGGCACGAGGCCGAATTTAACGTGGGGTATCCGAGCCCGTATGCAAAAATTCCCGTAGACCCCGTAAAAAAACGGGGTCGGGTAGCTGTCTACCACCCCAGACGAGACACTACCCTTCGGCACAGATTCATCTGGGTTCCTCTCCGCCCGAAGGTAGAGAGATCGTCCAGTTCAGCTGGAGACAAATCTCTAACTAATTCCTGAAGGAAGCCTCCAGGTATATCCTGTGCTCACTATATATAGCTACTGATATAGTCAGTCCATATAGGCGATAGGGAGTGTGGGACATTCCATTACAACAGTCTGCTTCACACTTATCTGCGGTATTTTGAACAGGAGAAGAGATTTGTCTCTTGTTTCGTATTGGATTTCCGGTTTTTTAATTCTCTTTCATTCGTCTAATTCTTATTCTTAGTATTGGTCCATTAGTTACCCGGATTCATATGTACCTGATGAAGCCCAGAGCTCACAACGGCAAAAATATTGCGATAACAGCGAGAAAGATGAGGGCAATAGTCCGAATGTAAATAAATTCTGTTTCTGTTTCATCATGCCTATTTTAACGGAGGGACTTATATCCTGCCCAGCTTAGTTATTCTTGCCTAATGGA